GGCTCTGAATAAGATCCAAGAATGGTCAGACAAACAGGGATTTACATTTTTCGAAACAGAAAACTGTGTGCGTGCACTTTTGTAGGAAGCGAGGTCTCCATCCTGAACCTGAGTTATACTTGAATGGTACAATTATTCCAGTTGCGCCCGAAGTAAAATTTTTAGGAGTGACGTTTCGACCGAAAATTGACTTTCCTTTCTCATGTTTTAAACCTGAGAAAGAAGTGTCTAAAAACACTAAATATTTTAAAAGTGTTGGCGAACACCTCCTGGGGTGCAGAGCGTTGCTCCATGCTTCGCATTTACAGAGCGCTTTCCGCTCTAGACTGGACTATGGCTCAGTTGTTTATGGATCCGCTCGGTCATCAGTTTTGTTAAAACTGGATCCTGTTCACCATCAAGGTCTGCGGATTTGTTCAGGAGCTTTCAGGACTTCTCCTGTCCCAGAGCCTATATGTTGACTCTAACGAACCATCACTTTATCTGAGGCGTGAGCAATTGTCCCTTTTGCAATATTTTAATATTCTATCCCAACCTGAACATCCCAATAAGCTGTGCTTACTTGATAATGAGTGTAACACTTTATTTGAAACAAACACGTCCATCCTGCGTTCCTACCTTTCCTTTAAGACTTCGCCCTATCATTGAGGAACTTTCCCTCTCTGATATGCGCCCCCAAGCAGTACAGAACTTTGAAATCCCACCTTGGGAAAATTCACGGATTCAGCTTCTTGATGTTTTCAAACATCACGTGAAGGCAAGCACTAACGAGATCGTTTACAGACAACTCTTTGCTGAGCACAGGCACAAATATAGCAGTTATTATCCGATATACACAGATGGATCAAAGTCAAATGATCATGTTGGGATGGCTTTTGTATTTGAAGATTACATTGAGGGCAGATGCCTGCACCATGCTTGCTCAGTCCTAACATCTGAACTAACTGCAATATATTATGGTCTTTTGTACATCTCAAAGCTCTGCCACAAAAAGTTCATAGTTTATACAGACTCGTATAGTGCTCTTAAATCCTTGGAAGCTTTTCCCAACACTCAGAATCCTGTGGTAGTGGATGTTCTCAAAATTCATATAAATTTAACGATTCGAGGATTATGAAGTCCTGTACTGCTGGGTTCCTGGACATGCTGGAATAAAAGGGAAATGAGCTTGCAGATATCGCAGCCAAATCTGCTGTTGAACTGTCCAGTCGCCTTATCCCTTTTAGAGATATCTGCTGTGTCATCAAGGGAAAGGTCCGAAAAAAATGGCAGCAAATTTGGGATGTTCAGCATCACAACAAGTTGAGAAACGTGTCAAGCCTAGAATTGAGCATTGGGATTTTTGGAAATCGTAAGGAGGACGTTCTTTTGACTCGCCTCAGAATTGGTCACACTAGAGTCACACATAACTATCTTCTCAAAGCTGAAAATGAGCCTGTTTGTTTTAATTGTAATGTTTGTTTATCTGTTCGTCATATTTTAATTGAGTGTCCATGTTTTAATAGTCTTCGCCAGAAATATTTTAATAGCTGTGACTTACCTCTCGACCGTTTAATCGGAAGAGAGGTCAATTGTAATTTATTTTATTATTTAAAAGAGATTGGCTTTTATTACCAAATGTAATTTGTTTTGAAGACTGTGTCTTGAATTTTAATATGTGCTTTTTAACTTGTGTTTATATGACTTCATCCTCTGGATTTGGTACATTTATCTACTTGTTTTTATTGATTGAATTTTAATGTCATCAATTGTAATCATCCCATCTTGTGTTTGGCGCGTCATAACCATCTCTGGTTTTTGCGCCATAATCACTCACTCACTCACTCAAGTCTATCCTTTCAAGAAAGCGTGAGTTGAAAGCATAGGAAAGTTGCTTAAACATAAAATAACGGTTAATTAAATTAAATAAATCTCCACAGTACTTCTTTTTGTAAACGTTGTTTTTCGCAGAAACGTCCTTAAAAATTTCGAGTGTGCTTAATTATAAAAGTTTAAATCAACTCGTGTTTAAAGATCGAGTGGTGATTTCTACACAACATTTTCAATATATTAATTTCACACAACCTGCCTTTGTCCTTGTGTAAAGGTAATGTAAAATACCAAAATATAGCAATGAAATTATATTTAAACGAAAACTTTTAAAACTGTTGTTATATTTTTGTGGTGGTGACGCTGGCATAACTACTGAAATACAATCCTCACAACAGAGTCCTACATCAGTGCATCAGAGTTGAAGTTATCTCTTTTTAAAAGAGATTCTCTTTTTAAATTATTCCCTAATGTAAGCAATAGTTTCCTCTACTTTTCCTACAATAGCTAAACCCTTTTTGCAAAAGTAACATGCTGATACAAGTTCAAAGCCATCTTGAATAATGTTAATAAGCTAAGGCAGACTCTACTTTGAACTGAGCCCACCAGCGGCCGAGCGGTAAAATCGCTGGACACTGGTAGTTCGGTCCGAGGTTCGAATCCCGCGAACGGGCTGGCATGGCGTTTTCGTGGATTTCCCCATGTGTAACGTGTATACGAGCCAGTTTCCCATAGAAAGTCCTCCACGAAAGGCATCCCTCCCCTTAGGCAGATAGCCCTAGTGTGCTTTGCCGTATTCTCAATACACACACACACTACTTTGAACTGAAGAAATGAGTTTTTTTATCATTCACTACTCTAAAATACATATTTACATAAAAGTTCTTATTTTTCACGTCTAAAGTTAGTAGTGCGTGTAACAACTCAAGATTTTATATGGTCTAAAATATATTTTTTCAATAGTTTCTGATTCATTGACATCTTTTGGAGGTTCTTTCTTCGATGCGCAGAAATGTCCTCTACTGTTGCAAGAATGGTAAATATCAGATGTCTTTCTTAAGCAATCTGTAGAATTAGCTGAAAACTTTGGGTATTTAATGCTCTTCATCGAATTATTAATAAAAATTCATGGAAGTACTGAAAGAGAATACTAATTTTTTGTAACTCGCATTTGATATATTTATTTCCTTGGAACCAAAAAAAAAAAAAAAAAAGAGAGAGAGAGAATTTTTCTACAGATTGGTGTTATGCTTTATAATTTCTCTCGATACTCCGCCTATGATAAAATGTCGAGAAATCTACTCAATTAAGTAGCGACTTGTAGCTGAATCCAAGCAGCATACACGTTACAATATAAAAAGTTGAGTGGCATAATTTAGTATGATTGTTGAAAGATACACGCATGTTGTGGGTTATTTCACTTGTCTGACAGTAACAATTTCATGACTTCGTCACTGCCAAGGATTGCTGCTGTTGTTGATTAAAGCATTTTAAATGACCATGAATTTGCCTATCTTCGTTCCAATTCTGAACGAGAATGCACCAGGAAGACGAATCTAAAGCTCTTCTATCGCTCTTCTCGTCTCCCCAAACTCTAATAAAGACTTTTAGCTCGCTAATATTTTAAGTGAGTAGCAAATATACCATACACTGTAAACATTTATACCTTTCCCAGGATTATATCCCGGGCTTAAGACCATAGCACTGGCTTCTCTACAACTGCGCTAGTAAAAACACATGACTATAATATGAATATAATCAAGTGCATATTTAAATTTTCTCAGCGGTACAAAAGTGACTGAGTTTTTCGAAGAGCTCTTATCGCTTCTTCGCGATGAGATGTAAGAGATTCCTCTTTCGGAAAATTTAAAATGCGAAATACTATTTTAAGGCAACACTCTAAGTTTAATATTAAAATAAAAGCACTTTCTCTTTTTTTTAATTTTCTAAGATCATTTTTTTCCTCTTGGTTTTGCTATAGAAATATAGTACATGATTTGTCGCCCAGACGGTATAGTGGTTAGGGGAGCCGACTACGGTACCAAAGGGCCCAGGTTCAAATCCCGGAAAATACATGGATGTTTCTAAACGTATAGTGTCGGTGCGGCACACTAAATATGCGGCGAGATAATCATCTAGTGTGGATTGGTGGAAGAGGAGAGGGGTGCAAGACATCCCGCCACCGGGGTGAACTCCCTAAAAATTGGGGGTTGGAAAATAGAAGTCCAACCTCTCTTCAAAGTAGGCTCTGGCAACCATTGTTCCATGGTTGCCAGTAATATGGACAACTATATAATTTACGAACATACAAAAGCCGTCTTACTTTATAAGATTTCCAGCCTTTAATAAGAAATAGTTTTCTTGTTTGTTTGAATACGACAAAGGACACAAGGACCTACCCGAGGAAAGAATGTTTTCGTGACGAACGTCCTAAAGGATACTGGCTGAGTAGGCAATTAAAAATTACATTTTTGCGAAATGAAAAACAGATGCGAAGATTTTCTACAGAGAAGGGAATCTGGAGACTAAACTCCAGCGGTGTTTAGGAACCAAACTAATTTTACGAATGGTATTTTAATGTCAAAATATCAAAGGCTAAGAATCAAAATATAAAATCGCAATAAATTGTATAAAAAGGCTACTTTTTTACCGTTGAAATATGTATTCAAACACCGTGTAAAATTTTCCATAATTTTTCTTATCGGAAGTCTATCGTCACATATGACATCAAAAATAAGAATCGCACGAAGTTCAGTATCGTTCCATCATTGCTCGACTTTCCAGAAGAAAAAACTAAAAGACGCTCTACGAGGATAAACAACGCTAACTTCATCTATGAATCAATAAAAGTGGGCGAAGGTTATATTACGCCCATTATGTAAAAAAAAAAAAAAAAAAAAAAAAAAAAGAAAAAGAAAAGAGAGAGTGAACACACGCCTTTTATCTCTACTTCCGCATCTCAGCATAATCGAATGCTCTCTTATCTGTCTTCTTAGGCATGCTACGCCGTCTGAAGGAACACGAGTAGAACAAAAATCAAAAAATAATGTACATACCATTTGCTCGGACGCGAACCCTACCATTAATGAAGAAAGCGAGCGGTCCCAAGGAGAGGTTAGGGTATCAATACATTTCCTTGTAATAGGGTGGAGTGGCTTAAAAACATTCTTTGGATTATTTAACATTTCTGGGGACAGGTACCTCATGGTGCAAGTGGGAATCGACCTTGGGTAAGATGAGTATATAAACTGAGGTGAATTTTGGAGAAGTCATTACAGTTTTACTCAGTCTCGGGTATCTTACTAATTGCGCTTTTCAACATGATCGCTAAGGTAAGTGTTATGGTGAATTACACTTGCTCATCTTAATACTCTTGGTAAAATTATGTATTTTTATGAGTACAGATAATTATACTTTCAACAATCAATATAAAATTTAGAAGTTTAGAGATTCGCATTGAAGAGTAAAATTCTGTTTCCTACTATTCAGTCATACGCATTTCAAAATGAATGCTGTGATCTCATATTATCTGAATCTGCTGTGCACTATTTTATATTTTCATTGTAGGAAATGACTTAGATTTATATGTCAATAATTTTTTAACAATCTAATTTTACGAATCCCGTCAAAGATAATTACAAAAAATCTGAAAATTAACTTAGCAAACATGCTAAACTATCGATATTTCTGTTGAAACAAAATTACTTCATTTTCCGATTAGCAGAATAAACTAACTGCACGTATCTAAAGGAAATTTTTGATCCATTGTATAATGAAACCGTAATAAATAATGCATATATATGTGTATGCATTGCTAACAGTTTTCTATAAACATTTTCGCATCATTTAAATGTAAACAATACGATTTGTAAACAATTAGATTTTGTTAACTCAGTGAAGTGGCCTATGAAGAGAGTTTTAATGTGTGCCTATGTTACGGTGAAACACCGAAATCTGGAGAATGTCGAGTTTCACCGGTGAATGTCAACATTCACATAGTCGCTTGCTGTATGTCCGAAATATTTTCCAAATACTCTTATTTCTGCCTACACGGGTAAATGTCGACATTCACCATGTACTAATGGTGAATGTTGAACATATAAAGAATATTACCATATATTTTCCTCTTCGTAATTCAGTCGCGAAAAAACGCGCTTGATACTTAAAATAAGAACTTAAAACACACAATACACTCAAAATGAGAAAGGAAAATAATAGAAGTTAAAAACTTACTTAATTATACAGTATGTTCTAAGTAAATACAGTAATGTTGTAGAGTCACTAGGAGTTTTTTAGAGGCAGAAAATATGAAAAATAGCAAACGCCTTCGCTGGGAATCGAACAACGGATCTCTGGAATACCGGCTCAGCGTGCAGAACCACTACACCACGAAGGACGCTAGGAAAGTGGGAGAAATACCTTATAATGTAATTAAAAACTTACCAAATTATGCGATTCAAATCTTATTTATTGCAACAACTTAAACGTCGCCTCTTCTCTTTTGAACCTCCACCAGAGCATATCTGTGATTGTCGACATGCACTGGTGAGGGTCCGAATGTACAAGAATGTAATGCAATATTCGATCTTTGACCGACATATTTGCTGAGTATTGACATTCTTCAGTGAAAGTCAACATCCTCCAATTTCGGTCTTTCACAGTAACACCTATATAAAACCGATTGATTTAATAAGGTTACTTTATATAGAAGTAGCAATACAATCGGGTTCATCTGGTATGGCAGGTTAAAGATGAAAAAAATACTAACCCTCTAAAATGCGTTAATACTGTTGCTTATTAAAAGCCGGAAATATTCACAAAATACAGTTTTGGCTATTTCAACGTCTGTTGAAGGCAAAAAGAATCCCAAATAATTTGTATATAATTCCAGATTTGATGTTTTCTTGACCGCTAATTTTCATGCTCGACGCCATAGGTAAATATTCATATGGATGATTCTTTAAAGCTCTGCGATTTTTGAGCGATGCAATAATCTGGGTACAATACCAAACCGTTTCTCCCCCCCCCATTTCTTTAGCATACATTTTAATGCATGCGATTTAAAATCTTTTAGGCATAAAAATCGGTTTCGGTATTAAAAACAGCACAAATAGTGTGCAATTCACCCAAATTTTGTTTCTTAAAATTTACCTGTAAAATATATTCTTAATAATAACAAGATAATTTTTTCTTTAGATCTTACACATTTTTCCTGGATCATTCGGAAAGATGATTGGTCAATAATCAAGTTCACTTGTTCCTCTAGCTTCTTAACTATTATTATTAAAGGATTGTGCTGTGAGATGAATTTTTGCAGTCGAATGCCTGGCTACTAATTTAAGCTACAGTATTTTAAATATGAATGCTTTAGTTAAAATTTTGAAGTAAATATTGGTCATATTAATGCATATTTTACTCACAATGCTATTTTTATTGAAAACCTTATTCTAAAAACAGCTTTTGTATTCAATAATATTCATGTAGCTCTAAGCTCTATATGCTGGTTTAACCACCTTACTAAATATTACCTGTTATATCTCTCCCTTACCCGTTGCTGAGACAAAATACAGTGATTTATTAAAATTTTAATTACATGACTCTAATTCAGTATTTTAACCATTGCAGGTTGCTATTCTTTTCGCTGTTGTTGCAGCTACCCATGCTGTTGGTCTTTTGCATGGGCATGGACATTTAGTGAGCACAGGAGCCAGTACTAGCGCTCGCAGCCAAGATGTAAGCCAGCATTCTTAATGTCATATAATCACTTGATATTTTCTATGGTCTGACAATGAAATCCAAACCTTCTCAGACTAAAGATACCTAAATTATAAAAGTATTTTCTAACAAAACTGCTCCTTCCCTGTCTTTATAGGCTTTCGGCAACTATGCTTTCGGATATGACATCGTCAATGGTGTCGGCGCCGCTAACTCTAGATCCGAAGTAGGTGATGCCCATGGCAACAAAAAAGGATCCTACACCATCGCTGGCATCGATGGCAGGGCCAGACGCGTAGACTACGTCGCTGACGGACATGGATTCCGCGCTACCGTCAAGACCAACGAACCTGGAACAGCTGCCAGTGCTCCCGCTGCTGCCCTCGTCGCCAGCCCTTATGCTGGACCTGTCGCTCCAGTTGTCAATCATGTAGCACCCGCTGCTGCCGTCGTAGGACATGCTGCTGTTGCCGCTCCTCTGGCTTATGGTTTGCATGGAGCCGGACACTTGGGTTATGGCTTGCATGGAGCCGGACACTTGGGTTATGGCTTGCATGGAGCCGGACACTTAGGTTATGGTTTGGCCGGACACGGTCTCCTTGGACATGGAGCTCTTGCACACGGCCTCGGACACTACGGACTCCATTAAGTCATCAGTGATGTAAGGAATATAAAATTACCATAGTTTCATTTAAAAGTGTTGTAAGCTAGCAAAATCTCAGAAATTCAGAAGTTTTATTGTTAAAAGTAAAGCTAAGTCACAAAAGCGACCTATGACATTTAATCCTAATTTAATGTAAATTAAATTTCATTTGTATGTGGGATTTTAATAAATAATCATAGATAAATTAATTTAGAAAACTAAAGTTTATCGTACTAAACTACTCGAGATATTATATACTTTTTTTTGTGCATGCACATATGGAATAGGAAATCCTATTGAAGCTACTTTTTGAAATAGTTTTACGTGTTATTTTACAAATAAATATTTTTTCAACTTCTCTATTTGAACAAAAAAAAAAAAAGTCGTACTGGCAAATAAATAGTACTTAATTATTAAAGCTCTTTTCTTTAATAATTAAACAGCTCAGCCTTTCACTTATTTATTTGATATCGTTAATAAAATCTGTGTGATGTCTTTCGTGTATGCCATCTCTGTTAAGCAAATGCTTTGGTATCCAATTATAAAGTACTTTTCTAAGTATAAACTATTCTATTCTCTTTCAGGTGTTTGCTGTTTCTCCAACTGTGATCGGAAACCTCATCTCATCATTTCAAACGGAAAATGTTACCACCTTTCTTCTATAAAAGCTTTATTTTTATTGTGCGTCTTCTTTAGTGACTGCAATCTGTGAAACCTGTTTCTTCGCGCACAAGAAACTGGAAGTTGTACGTGTTCTTTAAAATTTTGGGAGCGCTTCGAAGTGTTGAATTTTGTACTCACATGTACAGATGTAGCTTTATAATTTATTTAAATGGGATTTATTTGAGCTGTAAATAAATGTTCTGATAAAAAACATTAATTTTTTTGTCTTTATTCATTATCTGTCTGAAACAAGTTCACATTCAAATTTTCAAAATTGAAAGGAATAAGTTTCCCATAAAGAAATATTTCTGTTTAAGGGGAAAAAAATACAGAACTTCAATTGTATCGCAAATACAAAGGTCTCGAGCAAATCAAATGACTTATTATTGAATAATTATTAATAATTTCGATTATATCAGTAGATAAGGCCTTCGTAAAATTTTGCTTGCGATTTTATTCAATTAGTGTAATTCTTAAAGAAATATAATCGACTTATGTTTATCCGGATATGCGTTTTTAGCATTTTATTTTTCAGAAAAGACTAACGTTAAATTACTTTGACCACTTAGATGTGTCCTTGGTAAACAAATACAGTTTCGTTTGCAAAATCTGGAATAGTTTTGAACAATAAAAATGTTACTTATCCTTTGTCAGAAAGAGTAATTAAATGTTTTGATGACAAAATAATTACGGAAAAGCAGAAAAATCTTTTGTAAAATTTTCAGAGCCACATTGATGGTCACATCATCACCTGACTGAAGATGTTGCAGCATACGGCAAGTTTTAGCAATATGTCAATGAATCCTTTAAAGTAGATATACTAAGCAAATGTACATTATGTAAAAAGAAGAATATATAATCTTTGGAAAGAGACTATCTTTTCAGCAGTAACTGATTCAGGTTCCATGGCGCATTGGGTATATTACTAATTTATGGCTCCGGTGAAAATTTTTCCTTATTAATAGACAACCAAGGATATCAAATATCAGAAGGGATTTTCTGCAAACATCAAATCAAGATCAACCCAACAGCGACCGAGAGGTAAAGTCGCTGAATACAGGCTTGCTGGCTGCACGGGCGTTTTCATGGTTTTCCCCGTTTGTAACGCGTAACTAGCCAGTTTCCATCAGAAAGTTCTCCACGAAAATATCACTCCTTAAGCAGACAATCCTCGAATAGTTTGCGATAATCAAATGAATCAAACAGAACAAAAAGAATCACATTTTTATACTTTTATTATCCCACGTCACAGATGAGTGGGAAATAACTCATATTTTCACTATTCAATAACATTCAAATCTTTGCATCTGGTAGTTATGTAAAATATAAATACGCAATTCTTTACAACAATTCTGTGTTTATTAAGGCTTCTTAGCCCAAAGGGACGTTAGCTCGAAAGGGCTGTTGGTCTCGAAACGGAATTTCGCGTCGCCCACCATAAATAGCGAATCACTTTTCAAATTGTTACTACCAAATATTATCATTCTGTAGTATTTTAAAACAAATTAAATAACGAAGAATCTGCATGCATGTATGTACGTTCCTCGCACTGTGAAGAAATGACGGTTCCTGGGAACATATCATTCTGAATAATGTAGTCCTCTACCCGAATATGTGCTCCTGGAAGCCCGAATTTTATATATCCTATTTTGTAAAATTTTAATGATTAACAAACTCAGCGATTTGAAACCGAGAAGTGGCAACACAGTACGGAATAAAACATTTTTATCTCCAACGCGCTAATTTGTCTATCGGAAATTCTAAAGATATGCTGTTTTTAAATATTTTGTAATTTTGTTGTTGAATTGAATTTTATGTGGCTTAAGTGCGAATAACACGATATTTAATAAACAAAGTTAATAAGAAGACAAAAAATAAAGTTTTCAAGTCATCTTACTAAGAAAAATGAACATTGATACGATAAACTGAAAAAAGACTGAAAAAAAAAAAAAAATAGAAAATGTATGTCAACACTTAAAATTGCATCGGAAATTCTAAAACTTATGCTGTTACGCTGCTTCAAAAATGTTTACTTTTGCTGTTGAATTGTGTATGGCGTAAGGGCGAAAACAATGAAGCTTAAAAACAAACCTAAAAAGACAAAAAGATGTGGGTTAGCAGGAATGCAACAGCAGACTGGTAGACTGCGAGCCCAGCAAATCCAAAAAAACTTATAGAAACCCTTTTGAAAGACCGTTAAAACTGAACTTTATCAGACTTTTCATTTTCTTTTGTTCTTGTGTTTAATTTTTTCAGTTGCTCTCATAATGTATTCATCATCGCTAAGTATTTTAAGTGGCTTTAAAAATTAATAAAGCATCAGTTAGCGAACGTGATTAAAAATAAATATTTCTACTTATATTCGAGTTACTTAAATCTAACTACTTATATTCGAGTAGTAGATCTTAACTACTTATATTCGAGTTAACATCTAAAAGAAGAAAAGGATTTGAAACAATATATTATATTTTTCTTTGAGAAGCACGTCTTTGAAACTGGTTCATTATTCAGGTTTAAGGTCAGTTACCAAACAACTTTTTCATAAAATGGCAGGTGTTTTGAAACATTGGCTGTCAGCGCTTGATTAACAACACATTGAGATAATTGCAATGCGTATTAATATAATTCAGTAGCGGAAATAGTCCATTTCGATCGATACTCTGCGAAGAATTTAACTTCCGATGCAGAAGTAACTCGACGCCTAATTTCATCTTACAGAATGGGAGCTGACAACTATTTTATTTTAATAGTAGTAGTAGTAGTTTTATGGCGCAAAGCTCAATAGGCCATATGCGCCAAACACAGGATTCTTTTTTTAACATACAAACTAAAGGAACAAAAAATATAAAGACAACAGCACACTTTTAAAATCGAGGCAAAGTAAAAAAGATATTTAAATGATGGGATGAAAATGCTGATTATAACTTTGATAATGAGAGATGCAGTATAGATATAAAATCCTAAAACATCTGATTAATTAAAATTCCAACATAAAATCTCAGGACAAAAATCAAATTAAATAATAGAAACCTGTTTCCTTGAGGTAGTGAAACAATTATTATTGACCTCTCTTCCGATTAAACGGTCGAGAGGCAGGTCGCAGCTAGTTAAAATACTTCTCACGAAGATTATTAAAATATGAACATTCAATTAAAATGTGATAAACTGAAAGAGACAAACATTACAAGTTTGCACAAACAGGCTCTCGTTCTCAGCTTTCAGAAGGTAGTTATGTGTCACTCTACGTGTGACCAATTCTAAGGCGAGTCAAAAGAACTTCCTCCCTTACGATTGCTAGTAGTATCCCAATGCTCTATTTTAGGCTTTCACCCTTCTCAACTTGTTATGAAGTTGAATGTCCCAAAGTTGCTGCCATTTTTTTCGGATCTTCACTTTGATGACACAACGGATATCTTTAAAAGGGATGAGGCGGCCGGACATTTCAACAGCATATTTCGCTGCGATGTCCGCCAGCTCATTGCCCTTTTATTCCTGTATGTCCGGGGACCCAGCAGTACAGAAGTTCAAATCCACGACATGTCAATTTAATATTCAACTTGAGAACATCCACTATCACAGGATTCTCAGTGCTAGAAAAGGATTCTAAAGCTTTCAATGCACTGTAGGAGTCCGTATATACAATGAATTTTCGATGGTGCAGCGTTGAGATGTACAAAAGCGCATAATATATGGCAGTCAGTTCGGAGGTTAAGACAGAGGAAGCGTCGTGTAAACGTCTGCCTTCCATGTGGTCACCAATTATACAATGACATGCCAACATGGCAAGCTGACTTAGAGCCATCCGTATATATGGAAACATAACTCCTGTAACTCTGCCTGTGATCAGCAAAAATTTGTCTGTAGATGCTGTCATCAGTAGTTTGTTTTTCCGTAATTGTGGAAAATGTCAAGAAGGTGGATTTGTGCATTTTCCCAAGGTGCAATTTCAAAATGCTGTACTGCCTGTGGGGAAATATCAAACAGGGAGAATTCTTCAATGAGGGGACGAACTCTAACAGGAAAATGAAGGCACACAGGATGGACGTGCCTCAAATAAAAGGTCACAGCTAGCTATTTTCACATATACACAAGTTATAAGGATGGTCAGGTTGAGATAAAATATTAAAATAGCGTAAAAGAGACAACTCCTCACGCCTCAAACGGAGTGATGGCTCGTGACAATCAACATAAAGGCTCTGCACAGGAGATGTCCTGAAGGCTCCAGAACAAATCCGCAGAGCCTGATGATGAACAGGATCTAGTTTTAACAACACTGAAGACCGGGCAGATCCGTAAACAAACTGAGCCGTAGTCCAGTTTAGAGCGAATTAGAGCTCTGTAAATGCGAAGCATGGAGCAACGCTCTGCACCCCAGGAGGTGTTCGCCAGGACTTTTAAGATATTTAGAACTTTGGTACACTTTTTTCTCAAGTTTAAGACATGAGGAAGGAAAGTCAATTTTCGGTCGAACATCACCCCTAAAAATTTTACTTCAGGTGCAACTGGAATTACAGACCCATTGAGGTATAATTCCGGCTCAGGATGGAGACCTCGCTTTTTACAAAAATGCACGCACACAGTCATCTGTTTCGAAAACGTAAATCCTTGTCTTTTTGCCCATTCCTGGATCCTGTTCAAAGCGATCTGGAGCTGTCTCTCTACATGTCTCATATCCACACCTCTACAGCTAATTTGTAGATCATCAACATATAAAGAACCTGAAATGGTGGGAGGAAGTTGTTTTAATACAGTATTTATTTTTAGGCTGAAAAGAGTTACACTGAGCACACAGCCTTGAGGCACACCCTCTTCTTGTTCAAAAACATCAGACAAAACAGAGCCTATCCTTACTTGAAAAGTTCTAGCGTTCAGAAAATTCTGAATGAAAATTGGTAGGTTGCCGCGCAAGCCACTCTCGTGAAGATCGCGAATTATACCGTATCTCCATGCCTTATTATAGGCTTTCTCTATATCGAAGAAAATTGAGACAAGGTGATTTCTTCTTACAAAAGCTTTTCGAATGGATGTCTCTAAGGGAGCATATTATCTACGGTTGTTCTCCCCTTTCGAAAATCCACTTTGATAAGGCGATATAATATTATTCTTTTCCAAGAAGTAGACTAGGCGGCTGTTTACCATCTTTTCAAACAGTTTGCAAACACAAGCTGGTAAGGGCAATTGGCCGATAGTTCGAGGGATTCCTCGGGGTCTTTCCCT